TGGCGTGCTTTCTAAGTGACACAGACGACACAGTGTAATACAATGAATTACGTCCTTATCGTTTGTCAATGTTAAATAAAGATGAAATAATCACTGTGTCACACTTGCTGGAAAGCACGCATAATTATTATCTTTGTAACTAGTATACATTAAGGAAATGGTTGGTACAAGCGCGTGAAATATACAACAAATGATATTAGATCATACGTGAATAACACAATTAATTACGAAATTTACACGCTCTCAAGACATAGTTATAATCACATCATTATAACGGATCGTTATACTGAGTACAATTTAAATGATTGAATTCTTGTTTGGATATTCAGCTAAGTACAACAGACGGTAATGAAGTTCTTAATTTTGGACAATAGCCTAACGATGATTCACTGACAGCATTCGCCTATTATTTTACAATGTATCAATTTGATTTCGATAATTTTATTGTTATACTGAAGAAGACCTAATCTTATGATCGAAATGTTTGTAATTGGTGATGGACATATAATATTATTTTTGATTATATACGTACAACTGTTGTCAGCTCTCATTGGCTTTATACTCCTTTATTGATTTAATCTTTGGAGCCTTTTTCAATTTTAATTGTTAATTTTTAATAATATTGTTAAACACACACTGAGATCTAGCTAAGCCGAATGGGCGAATAAGACATTTTTCTACTTAATTGTGTTAGTCATATATCGGTCTATTGTTTATTCTTTTATACAGATATTATTATTATTACTTATGTTAAGTGTTAGATTATTAAAATGTCAATAAATACAAATATGTATTTGTAAAAGTTATATGCGACAGATTACTAGTGAAGAATTTTTTAATGAAATAAATTTGCTCTTATTGTATGTACACGTGATGTATATATGTGATATAAGTTATATCAGGAAAGTAACGCGTTATTTGTAACATGATTACCGTTTTCGTTACTTTTTTTTCGATGATATTAGTTTTTTCTATCTGTAGCGGTAACGATGTTATGTTTTTACAGTAATGCTTTTTATAGTAGTGAATTCAGCCGTTAATTTTACCATTACTGTAATCCTTTATTATCTTTGTAATTATTTAACAGATCGCACTAATTTTAATTGACTAGAAATATTTTCTAATAGAAATGTTAATATTAAAAAATAATAATTTTGTACTTTATGTTTTAGGTTGCACTGCGATAATCACTCCAATGTGTCAATACTGAAAATCTGTATTTCTCTCTTAACGACATTAATATTTAAAAATAATGTTTAGTAAAAATTTTTAATAAAATCTGCATAAAGTGTAAATTAAAATCTAGTTCTTTTTAAAGATATAAGCATAAAAAATAATGGTATTTATTATAAAGATTGATTATCTAAGATTCATTAGATATGTTTAATATAAAGAAAAGCTTGCTATATAAAGATTAGCTTAGAATATTAAATTTCAATTTTTTAAAAATTAGTATTGATTTGTTAAAGGGATTCTAAAGTCATCTTATTTTACTACAATTATTACGTTTTAGAATAAATCTTCGAATTGATTTTATGAATTGCAAACTTTTTTCTACAGAATTAAAAAGAACGCATAAAAAGAAATCTCGCAAAACACGATTTCAAGAGAAAATTGAAAAAAATTAAAAACTTCATTTTTTCTTGCACGTACAACTGTCACCTAAGATTAACATAATTAATTGCTTGATATAAAAGTTTTATAACTTGTAGATTGAAAATAAGCATGAGGCGATTCAGATTGAACGAACAATACTGAGTTTGTGGAATTAAGATTCAAAGCGTAGAAAAAAATACTTTTCTTAAATCGAAATTACGTGCTTTGTAAGGACTTACTTTTTCCCTCTTTTACAGATTCGAAAATTTTTTTCCAGACCCTTTTTCTTGATCCTTAATACACACCTTTGGGTTATTCATGTCCGGTGCATTTCTTTTCTTTGAAATATTAAGAGCACCTGATCAAATCAGTTTCTTTTTTATTTAAAAAAAAAAGTTTGGCATCTGGAGAATAAGTTTAGTGCCGATTTCAATTCATATGTATTCTTTAACTAGAATAACTCCGAAGTTCACCTCTGGGTCACAAATCACCTATCGTGTGTATAGAGTGTACATTTTTTGTAACTAAAAAAATTTTTCATTTTTTTCTTTATTTTTAGCTAATTCTCATTTATATTGCAGGAATATTTTGCGACTTATTAAAAAAGAATTTAACCCTAAAACAATATAGCCCTTAGTAAACATTTTTGGTATCCTTATTGTGTCAAACGTCTGTAATATTATTATGTATTATGTTGTTTGTATTATAAAAAACATTTTAATACATTATAAGTTTTTTTAACACTAGCAATAATAAAGTGCATTACTTAAAATGTAAATGCAATATATTTTCAATTTATAGCCATTTATGTATATTAAAAAAACATCATTTTCAGGTTACTAAATAACTAAATTTTTTGGACAGTCGATAATTGAACTATTTTTTTCTTTTGTAGTTTGGAATGCTAACTTTAAGATATGGAAACATATTTTTCCTTTAAACATTTTTGTTTCAGAATTTTATATTTTTGTATGAAAAAGTGCATTTTTCTCATTTTGTTAACCATATTTAGTTATAACAATTTATATACATTAAAAAATCGCTTAATTTTTATGCACTTGTAAAAATGATGAAATTAATCCTGAACACGAAAGACCCAACGTATGTAGGTGCCAAAAATTAAGGTGTGTACTAAGAGTTAAAATATACACATTAATACGTGTCTGTGAGATGGAATTTATTCCAAGAACGACAACAAATTTCAAAATTGAAATTTAAGAAAAATTTTTTATCGTTCTCAGCATAAATTCCACCTCACAAATACGTATATTGATGCATACAGGTATGTATTTTTTTTTACACACACACACACACACACACACACACACACACACACACACACACACACACACACACACACACACACTTTAATCCTGGATAAGGATTTTCGAATCTGTAAAAGAGGAAAAAAATATACAAAAATTATGATTTAGTCGATAATACAAATGGCTTTATGCCCGTCAGACTAGAGATCAGACTAGAGATTGACGATTACGATTTGTAAAGATAAACAACAGCATAAGCAAAATACAAAATATTGTAACTTGTTAGGAAATGTTAGAAAATTTTATTTTACATGTACATACTTATTTATATTTTACAAAACTCACAAAATGCTAAACAAAATCGACGAGAAACCGGCGTGATCGCTAATCGTGGTAAACATAACAATACGCTATATTATAAGAATGATTTAAAAAAAAAAGAAAAAATTTGTGAACATTCTCATAATCATTCGACACACTTAATACGTCGTTAATAAATTCACGCAGATTACAACTGTTGCGGGCATGAGATTGATTTTTTTCAGCAAGTTTGCATTTTGTTTTCGCGAATTCTAAATTAATTTCAGTTATCTTTGCAACACAATATCACACTCTCACACTCTCTGAAATTTATAAAAGAATTTCGCGTAAATTATTACAATGCGCGAGGTAATTTGAACGACTGAACGCAATCAGAAATTTATCGCTTACACGAAATACTAGGTTGTAATCAGAAATTGCTCCTAGATAACTCTAGGCTATAATTCATTTTACGTAAATTAGCAAAAGTGCACTAGAGTTATCTGGGCGTACTCTTGAATGCATCCCTAAAAGCGTAATATAATTGACTCAATGAGAAAAAGAATTGTCGGAATATTTCATCAAAATATGTAATTATAAAATATATGGCGAGTTTTTATGTAGCAACAAATATATCGATGATTTTCATTTCTCGTTGAGTTGCATTATCTCTTTGAGGAAAACTTTAAGTGCTATACGCTATCTCAACGTGTAGGCGTCTCCCTTTCAAATACTTTTGCGCGCACACTGATTGTACACAATCTATATGGAGATCTACAGTTTAAACACTGATTTCGAACGGCAATTTTTGGGAGGTTTTCTGGGCAAGTATACTACTTAGTGGTTTGCCATTGCCTTCTGAGAGGAGCTACGAGTGTATACGAAAATTTTTCTGTCGGGGATCGAACCTGGGATGTCTTATAGTATATCAGACCAGTGCGCTGTCTACTACACCACGCTCTTGAGCAAAAACAGACGAAATTAATTTTTGAAGCAGCCAGCTTTGCTCGTCTTAATTATAAATGTTTTCATCAAATTCTGGTCTAGCTTGGCAAAATTTTCCGTTTCCACCACAGTCGTCATGTAACCAACGGCGAGTTGGACGCAGAATTCTTCCAGTTCCTAAAAAATTGTCAACAGCATTCAATTATTGCATATTATGTAGATTCATAACATACGCAATGAAATGTTAATAAATGTTAAAAGTGACAACGTTTGACTACCTCTATGTTATACTTCACTGCAATGCTATAAAAGTAGGCGACGTCCGATACAGTAATTCCTTGCTTTATTATACGAATGCACTGCTTCTTGAGATTGTTCTCAAAGTAAGCGTTGGCTAAATCAAAAAGTTCTGTTAACAAAAAATATTGCTTCAATTATTTGGCGCATTCAGCGAATTCAACAGTTGAGTAAGTGTTCGCTGCTATTAGTGTATTTTTTCAGATCTGAAAGTCTGATTGGATGATGTAGAAAAATACACCAATATCAACGAGCGCTCACTCAAATGTTTAGTCCGCTGAATACGCCCGATGAATATTTAGGCCAATAACCGCTCATGGTAGACTCGACTTACCTGATATATTCTCAACGGGTAAATCGACTATATTGGTGTATAAATACTTCAGGTATGCTTTATAGACAACGTAGGAAAATGTATTAATCTTGATGACACATCGGGAGAGAATGATGACAGCATGAGCAAAAACTTGAGAAATTTAACATAAATAACA